ATCAATTTTGGGTATTTTGGCAAAATTTGGAATTTTTAGCCAAATTTGGGTATCAAGGGCAGTTAGGTAATTTGGAGGTGCCTAGGGGCAAAATACCAAGTTAAGCATTTCACATAGAATTGGATAGATATCCATTCTAAATGAACCAGGGATTAATACATTGTGAAGATATAGTGTATCCTAGTTCCAGGGTCGACCCTAAAGCCAAGTAATCCTATAGGGACTCTTCTTGAATTTTCTTATAATGATTTTACCTACTAAATGCTAGAGGTTAAGATCAATATGTGGAATTTCAAGCTGAGTAAAAAGAAGAGTTTTGAATTTCTAATGGTGGGGTACCTCTTCTAATTTTCTAAGACTAGTCAATAGGAAAGTCCTATGGCTAGACCTAGGCTACTAAAGAAGTTTTCTAGACCTGAACCAAAAGTGAGGTCAACAGTTAGTTTTATTTAAATGCATTTAATGTTTTCTTTCTACCCATATTTTTTGTATTAATTGATTTACCTATTCAAAATTTAAGTTTGGGGGAAGGAAACATTTTCTTAAAAGAAACTAAACTTTTTTTGTCCTCAATGAACTATATTACTTTTTTAAATTTTATTTTAACATAACTTTTGGTATCAAATGTCAACTTGATGATAACTATATTTTTTATTTTATAAATATGATTGTAGACTTAAGTAAAAGTCTTTAATATGTCTTTAGTAAAAGTCTTTAATATTGAAGGTTAGTCCTAAAAGTTAAGATATTTAGTATAAGAGTATAAGTTTATGTGTTTACTATTTAAAGTAAAGGAAATTGTATTTTTGAAATATTAAGAGAATCTTAGAGTTATATAAAAAGGAACAATTAAGACTTCATGGAAAATCTTTTTTAAAGCTAATATACATTTTTAAGTAAGAAATGTGAGAATTTTAACTATAAGTAAGTAATCTGAGAAAAATATTTATATGCATTTCAAAGATTTTTATTAGATTACTTGGGGTTGACCATTCCCACTCTCACAAACTGGTTGACTGTTACTTTGTTGTCTTCTTCCACGTATGTGATTGGGTATCAAGGAATTCTTCTGCCATCTTCATAGTGATCATCTACTCAGATAATTTGGTATTTTTTGCTTTAATAGCAAACACCCACTCAGATGCTATTTCTAATTCCACTTTTATATCCCTCAATTGAGCCCCAGCCTCAGCTGCCCTAATGATAACCACTTATGCCTGCTCCCTAAACTCCCTTGCTTAGCCTCGACCTTCTTGCTTAACCAAACTAACCCAATCAACTCAAAATCGAACATGAGGAGCATCCAAATCATTTTTAATAAGTTTATGCAAGGATGAGGGAGGGATATTTCCAATAATGGTATTTTCCACCCTCCATTTAGCCAACCAATTCGCAGATTGATTCCCTTCTCTATAAATAAAAAAAAATAGAATATTGAGGTGATACCTTTCAATAGTATACTTGATTCTTTTCAGCAAAGCTAAGATATACCAAGGTGGCTTAATCTTAGCCAAAAGAATATTAAGTAGGGATTCAAAATTAGTTTCCACCACAATGCCGTTTAAATTTAAAGAGGTAACAGTATGAAGAGAAGCAAGCAACGTAGAGGCTTCAGCTTCAAGTGAGGAGTTAGCAATACAGGGTGACGCAAAGTAAGCAATACACCTGTCAGTAGCATCTCTGATAATTCCTTCCATACCAGTACAAGCATTGGAAAAGCTCCCATCAACATTAACCTTTAACCAACCATGGGGGGTGGTGCCCATTTAATCAAAATGAGTTTCCTACCCTTGGCCACAGTAGGAGAGGCATCCTGTCCAAAGAAGGATTTCCAAGCCTTTTTAAAGTAAGCAACCGCTGAGATGGAAATGGTAGATGGGGTATGACCAATAGTTTCATACTTATGACTGTTTCTAGCCATCCAAATAAACCATAACACAATAACAGGAAAACAGAAGTGCTTGTTGAAAGAGGGTTCAAATCCCTTCCATATTTCAATAACTATTTTGAAATTCAGGGTAGTGGGCCAATGGATACCAAAGAAGCACCCAATGCAATTCCAGACATCTTTAGCAAAAGGACATTAAAAAAAACAGGTGATTTAATGATTCAACATCTTTTTTACAATTGTAATAGTAAGAGGCAAGTTTCAGCCCTTTCAACTTAAGAATATCATCAAGAGGAAGAAATTTATGAAAGTATCTCTAGAGGAAGTAGGAAATTGATGGGGAAATGAGTTTATGTCAAATATAAACAGGCCATTTCCATGGAGCAAAAGAGTGTAAATTTGAGTAAATTCATTTTGTAACAGATGAGTTAGCATGATTCTTCCATAAAGGAAAAGCCTTATCTTGAGATTTAACAGGAATTCAAGTAATAACAGGAGCAATTTCACCAACTAAGGAATTCAACATATCAAGATTTCAATTACCATTAATCCAACTGTTCGAGGCCAATAAATTAACATCATAATCTTGAGTAGGCAAATTAGAAAAAGTAGAAAGACCCCAGTCATCATTCCAAAAGGAAATGCTACCATCACCGATATCCCAAAACATGAAATGTGAAGCTACATCACAAGCAGCAATGATAGCTTTCCAAAGTCTAGAATCCCCCACTCTCCAATTAACAGAGAAAGGGTGTAAAGTTTTGCAATATTTATGTTGCATAAATTTAGCCCAAAGAGATTCTCTCTGCCAAAATTTGAACCAGAGTTTACACATATTAATATACATAGTATGCTGCAAGGTTCTACACCCGAGCTCACCAACAGAAAGTGGTTTACAAGCATAGTGCCAAGTAGTCCAATTTTTAGTAGATCTAGTGCCATTCCAAAGGAAATTGTTAAAAATGTTTTCAAGAATCTTTTGAGTGCTTTTTTTGGTTTTGAGAACCTACATCATATAAAGAGGGAGTGTGCAAAGAACACTTTTCAATAAAGTGAGCCTGCCCCCATTAGAAAGGAAATTATTTTTTCAATCATTAATCTTGAGTTTAACCATGTTGATTGCCTCATCCATCTAAGTTTACTTGGTTCTACCTTTGAGAATGTTGACACCAAGATACTTGATAGGGAGCTTAGAGATTTTGCAGCCAGTGAAATTAGGAGCCCAAGCTAGGGTGTTGGGTGGAGCACCTTTGCCAAAGTACGTAAAGCACTTAGTAAAATTGAACATCATCCCATAGGTACTTTGGAAATCTTTTAGAAAGGTCATGGTAGCTTTAATGGCACATTTACTAGCATTTAAAAACAAGATTGCATCATCAGCATAAGCATGGTGGATCACATCAATTTTAGATTTATGAGAGAATTGAAGATAAGGACGCTCATGTTGCAACTTATTAATAAGTCTGGATAGATAATCAAAAGCGATAATAAAAATAGTGGGAGAAAGTAGTGGGAGAAAGAGGATCTCCCTGCTTGATGTTGCTATTGGCAGAAAAGAAACCACGTGCTTCACCGTTAACCATCACTATAGCTATTATTGGACAACCATCTCTGTATGAGTGAGCAGAAATCCTGTTTAAAGCCTTTAGCTTGCAGAATGTTAAGAATAAAGTCCCAGCTAATAGTATCAAAAGCTTTCTTAATGTCCAATTTAAGGACCATATTTCCCCCCTACACTTTTTATCCAACTCCTCAATCATTTCTTGCGCTAAAAGGATATTCTTAGTGATGTCCCTACCCTTAATGAAAGCAGACTGTTGTTCAAAAATAATGTGAGTAAGATAAGGCTGCAATCTGCTAACTATAATCTTACTCATAGTTTTGGATATCACAATGGTGAGAGATAGTGGGCGAAAATTATCCCAAGTGATCTTATCATTGCCTTTTGGAATAAGAACAATCAGAGTCGAGGTGAAAAATTTACCAGGATTGTTCTCAAGGAAAAAACTTTGGATAGCAAGGATAACCCCCTTCTTGATAACCTCCCAAGCATTAATGTAGAAAGCAGAAGAAAACCCATCAGGACAGACGCTTTATTGGGGCAAATAAATTTGAAAGCATTCAAGATTTCCTGCTTATTAGGAGGGTAAACCAAATTTAGATTATTAGCATAATCATACTCACTTTGAAAGTAAGTGGGATCATTAGACATAGTATGAGAAGAAGTGTGAAAGAGGTCAGTGAAAAAGCTAACAACACTATCACCAATCTCGGTCATATTAGTTAAAGTGGTACCATCAGCTTTATTAATTTTTAAAATGCTATTGGTGTTTCTTCTATGCTTAAGAGTGGCATGAAAATATTTAGTGTTTCGATCCCCTGCAACAAAGGAAGAGTCATTAGCTTTCTGTTTAAGAAAAATTTCCTCTAAAGCAATAGCATCCAAAAGATCAAGATGAGCTTGAGCAACAGTGTCCATCAGATGAGGGCAAACATCTCCATTAGATGAGGGGAAAAATCAAGTTGAGCTTCCAAGTAATCAACAATATTCTGAGCATCCTTCACTTTTTTATGAACATTACCAAAGACCTGACATTACCAAAGACCAAAGACCTGATAATTCCATTTAGTGAGATGAGCTGTCACTTTCTTATGCAATTGCCACAAGACAAACCAAGGAGTCTCAACTCCATCAAATTTCCAAGCTTGTGCCACCAAATAAAAAAAAGTAGCATGCAAAGTTCAAACATTAAGAAATTTAAATCTAGTGAAGGCCGACTTTGCAGTAAAAGCCAAAGTGAGCAAATAGTATTATGATCAGAAGTAACATGACTCAAATGTTGCGCCTTCACAATAGGGAAGTAACTTATAAAAGCCAAATTAGCCAAGAAACGATCCAATCTCTAATAAAGAAAACCCCTCATCCAAGTATAAGGAGTACAAGTATAGCCCAAGTCAAAAAGACCTGCATTAGACAAAGAGTTAGAAAATCTATTCATTAGAGCAGGCTCCACTCTGCCACCACCTTTTCTTTCCATCGACTTCATGATCATATTAAAATCTCCACCAACAAACCAATTTTCATTGATGATGCTTCCCATAGACTCAATTTTCTGCCAAAGCAAGTTTTTCTCATGCAAAGAAGAGCAAGAGTAAGCAAAAGTGCCTCAGCCCTGAAAACCATCAAAACAAATTTGAGTAAGAATGTATTGATCCTCATCTTCGATGATAGAAAAAGTGACAATGGGTTTCCAGAAAGTCCAAATTTTGTTGTTGACGTTGCAATAAGAACAATAGCCTTTAAATTTATTGAGAATTCTATGTTTATTAACATGAACCAAAGGCTCCAAAATAGCAAAAATGAGTAATTTGTGAACCCTACATAAGTTTTTAAGCCTATTAAGGGAGTTAGGGTCCGAAACTCCCCTAATATTCCAAACTATTATGTTAATCATGATGACGTGAGCCAACCCTTCTAGAAGATCTAGTAGAATTGACCAACTATTCTTCGTCTGAGTGATGAACACCTTCCAGTATAATGTTGCTAGCATTAAGTCTAGATAACTCAATGTTACGTTTAGCCTTTTTCCGAGAGTGTTTTTGCACTTGTCATTCATTTCCCAGAGTTGAAGTGGCATTATCAAGAGCAGCATTTATATCAGAAATTGCTCCAATAGTAGGAGAGTGCACAATGGTACTAGGAAGAGTAGCGTATTCATTATCATTATTGTGTCCTGCAAGAGAAGAGTGTCTATTATCAATTATTGTTTCTGCAACCTCCTCATTTATCATGTCATCATCAAGACCCACAAGTGGAGAGTGTCCATGAGAAGAAATAGCAATGTGAATGTCAGAATTTTCTGATAACTCCACATTGTCAATATTCTGCATGTGTTTAGGAGTAACGTTACTACACCAGTGGAAAGCTTCAACTCCTTGATGCCCATCATTAATATTCAAATGTGAAGGTGAACCTTCAAGTGAAGGTGAACCTTCAATGCAAAATGCAATTATTAATAGCTCCTAGCTCCTGTAAGCAAAGGTTGCATACTAGAAATAACATTAGTATCAAGATTTGCAACTAAAACATTTCTATTTTCAACACCAGGTGGATCAACATGCAAATCATTAGTTATATTGTTAATAAGATTACTAAATTGCCTAGTATTTTGGGAATTCTTAAGTTGTGGATTCAAACGAAAGCATGAAGTAGTTTGATGCCTAAATATAGAACAGTGAGTGCAATAAGGCGAATGCCTTTCAATTTCAACAGGCTGCCAATAACCCTGATGTTGTGAGTCTATCCAAATCTATCCAAATTTCATTACAGACAGAAAGCCTGAGTAATATCTCGTTCAACCTATATACGTGCTTCAGAGGGTCTCGATAAACTGAAAGTAGCATGATCCATTTTCAATGGTTTCTCATATGCAGCAGCAAGTGAAAATAATATTTCTTGGTTAAAAAGATGTAGTTTGAGCCTTGGGAATCGAATCCATACCAGAATAATAGGTAACTTAGCTTTAGGGTCAAAATGAATAGACCATTTCTAAAATTTCATCAAATTATTTTCCACCCACATGAACCTTTTTGCGAAGAGGTGAGTGTAATCCTCATCATTTGCTAGTTGAATAAAAATATGTCTACCATAAATGATACCAACCTTTTAAATTAACATTTCAAACTCTCTCCTTATGATCTCAATCTTAGGAATGTCATAAGTAAATTTACCAATTAGGGCAAGGTGACAAGAAGAAGCAAGCACAGTAGTTTCATCTTCAGTAACATAAAGAGCAAGTTTACCGTTCTTTCTCCGCAATTTTTTTATCAAAGTATAATTGCCTCCAAAATTTAGAGTCATAGAAACTTTGAGGAAAAAACTCAGAGGAGGTAGCGGACAAAGAACCGCCCCCATCTAAAACGACGTCAAAAAAGATTGAGAAACCGACAACATAATCGAAACTAGAAACCCCAAATAAACGAGAGACACACGACGAAAGAGTAAAAACGAAGAAGAAAACCGAAATCAAAGTCAATCGAAGCAATGATGGAAAGATCTCACCAGTCGAACGGAGAAGCCCCATCTTTACACGCCGGAAATCGCCTTAAAATCGTGAAGCCCTGGTAATGTTTTATTGTAGGTATACTAAGTCTAGGCATTTGGAGCTTAAAGGAAGCAAAAATGACAAAATTTGGAGTAAAAAAGTGGCATTTTTGAAAATTGAACTCGCACATTTGCACTAGAATCCAGAGAAGACGACGCATAGGCTCCAAAGACGGTTATTTTCACAAATGCATTAAATTTGGATGAATTTTGAAGAGGTTTTAAGGGAGATTCTTAGGAATTTTATTTCTACATTATAAAAGTGTTTTTATGTCAGAAATTGGGGGTGGCGTGAGTATCAAGTGTGGGAGATTTTGGAAAGTGTTCTTTAAAAGTTGTAAGAGGAGAGAGAAAATGAGAGATTTCTTCTTCATTACATTTCTAAGAGAGAATTAAGTTTTATTATAAAGAGAGAGAGGGATTCAAATGAACTTCAAGGGATTTGCTTGGGGATGAAATCAAGTTAAGTTGTTTTACTTTATTTTTTTGTTTTGTAAATTTGTTTATATATGTATAATTCATGTTTTGTTGTATCTTCCTCATGAATTCTGAATAGATTTCTTTGTCATTCCCCCTACAAAGAGATATTGTCATGTGAAGAATCAAGATTATTGTACAATATTTTAATTTCATAATTGTGATGATTCAAACTTTGAACTTCATTTATTTTTTTATTTGACCAATTGAATTGTTAAAATTTATTGTGAAACATACGATATGAGAGAGCTATGCTTTCTACAACAAAGTAAGAATCATATTTGATTTCACGGATAAGAATGTAGTCCATAGGGTTAAGTGCAAATAAATAGGGAAATATTTATTGATGGGCATGGAATTGAAGATTTTATGGTGACAGACTAAAATCTCCAATTTTGCCCAGGCGTTTGAAAACTAAAGCGAGATGTTAGCCCTCAGGCAAGGGAAACGTGAGAACTATGAAGTGAGAGACAGTATCTTCCCAGCCTAACTGCAGATTTAGGGACTAAACACTGGATTAGCCAATGTTCTTTATCGCTTATAAAATGAATAAAGAATATAATTGCTCATATTTGGCACAATATAATTTTCTACAATTTGATAACTTAGTGACTATAATCTCGTTGTAAGGGGAATGATACTTTCTTAAATTTGATATCTTCGTCGCAAAATTTAGTTTAGTTTTAGTAAATTTAACTTTGAAGCTTAGAGATTAGTGTAGAAAACATAGTTTCTTTAGCGACATTAAACAAATTTTGACCTGGTTACTTACTTAAACTGTCTATATTTTAACTATTATGTCTTTGCGCTATTATCATAAGAATTTTCACCTCTCTATGGGATTGATACTTAGGACTCCATTAGAGCCATTTATTACTTGAGCGATATGTATACTTGCGTTTGTAACATAGTGATGATTTGAAATTAAAAGCACACCTTAATTCACTAGAAGTTGCAACTTTAAATATTTTAAAAGAGAAAATTGATTATACTTAAGCAAATTTTATTGTGATTGATCTGCATATTTCCTAGTATAATTGTCGTGTGTGTTGTGGTGTTGAAAAATATTTATAGCGTACACAAATTGCACGCATCAATGACTCTACTATCTCCTCTATCCTCTGCCTCTACATTACCGCCTGCTTGACCAATTTGGTCTCCTTTGGCCCAATCCCTTCAGCCGACCTCTAAGGACTAATCGGTAGCCCCTCACCTTACTGCATTTTCTTTGTCGGTCGACCCTCTTACGTAGGTTTTTTTCTTTAAAGTTGGTCAAGAGATCTCTAGTTTCTTCTTCTTGTCGCCCACTGAAGGGTGAATATTTGTGGTTGGGATCCCCAATGCCCTCATCATTACCTCTTCGTTCAATGGTTTCTTGCTACTCAACATCTTCATCCTCTGTTAAAACTGACTGAAAGACAATAAATTCAGAAATGAAGAGGGGAAATGCAGATCACGCTCTATTTATAGAGAACATTGTGAAAAACATCAATTTTATGTGATTTTACATACTTTTTATCATGCATATTACATATTATTTTACCTAATTTATCATGATATTATGCTTATGGAATGTTCTATATTTTATTCGGCAAGTTATAGGTGTCAAACTTGCAAAATGAAATCAGAAAGTGTGATACTGCAGTCTGGCGCAATCATGTCAGATCTAGGCGTGACCATGCCAGAATAGGCATGATCATACAAATTTCTGGCGTGGCCATGCCACCGTTCCTCCAGAACTTGTATTTTGCATGATTTCATGCCTATTTTGAACCTATTGATAGAATTGGAGAGCTTGGATGCCTATCTAAGAGCCATAATAAAACCTAAATATAAAAATCTATTTGTATCATGAGATCCCTCTCTTGGCCTCTTGGAGGCTTGAAAAGAATATTCTACATCAAACAGTCATTGGAGATTGCTG